CTACACTGTAAGAATCACCCTAAAGCCAGACTATTTTCTCTAGCCAAAACCTTTTAAACCATCTTGTATAGTTCGAAGCTCTGCAGCTCATGTACTAACACTGACTCCCTTTCGCCCCCAAGTACTATAACACTATAGACTTACACTCATCTGCAGTTTCAACAAGACCTTTGTTGAACATTATGGCAAGTCTGACACTGTCACTACTCAGAGCGAAATACCAAATTTGCAACATAAACTTTGAAGAATTGAGAACTCTGGACAGAAAGGCTAACATCAGCACAAAGGTGAGTAAAAGTAAATATGGCAGATAAGATATACTCGACATATTCTCCGCACATAGCCTTTTACGTGCGAACGTGCGGTCGCGAAGTGGTTCGTCCAGTGCTCTAGAATTTAGTGCGAATTTTAGGAGAAGTTTTAAAGATCGAATGAATACTGGTGTTATGAACACAATTACATTGAATTGACACTGTCTTTTGTGGTGTTTTTGAATTATTGCCTTATTGGAATTTGGTGAGATTTTTCCATTTTTGTATGTTGTTTCTATTTACTGCGAGTTATTGATAATCGGTAATCGCTATCTTGGTAGTTTTTGTTCAGTTGATTGGGTCGGCGCCCGACCTTCATTATCATTAGCACCTGGCGCTGACCCATAACTGGTGGGTTTACTCTTTTATTGCGCCATTGTACTTATCCTGCTCTGGTACCTGTAATAAGCACTTTCATTATAAATGCGCTGACTTACCTGACAGTTTCCAAGCTCACCTGGAAACGGGAATAGATTTTCACGGGAGGTGTCCTGATTGTGTAAGGAAATGTTTCTGCTTAGACTCTGACTCCAACATTGCATTTCTTGGTGACAAATTTAATCAAATGGTGGATAGCTTAAAGGATGTTTTCTCGGGAATAAAAAATGATCTAATCAGTAACATCGAATACAGTAAAATTACCATACCTCCAGAGAGTAAATATAAAAATACCAAACCTACGGTAATTATTGAACCAAAAAATATTGTTCCAAATTGTACGAAGACGAGGACTGATGTACAAAATGAAATTAAACCCCTGAGGAATCAACTACAAATTTCAAAGTTAGTAAATTCTGGAACAGGGGGTATGTTAATGAAATTAAACTTTCTGAATCTTATAAGATTCGAGAGGCAAAGAGTGTACTACCCCGTCTCAAAATTGTGGGAATTGATGAAATATACAGTGAAAATGAAATACCTGAACTACCTGATCGTTTTAAGAAAACAAATAACACCATATCTGGTTCTAATTCGGAATGCAAAATTTTAAAATTTTTGCCAACTAAGATAAAACTTAATATACATCAATAGTTGATGCAAGTAGATATAAATTCAAACGATCGATTGATGGCTGCAGGAGGAGTTTTTGTAGGGTATGATTATTGTCATGTTTTTGAAGGCCTCGAACTTACTCGGTGATTTAACTGCAGTAAATACGTACATTGGTAGCGGATTTGTCGAGATAAGGTTTCCTGTCCAAAATGTGTTCTTGAGCATATTATTAAAGAATGCCAATCAAATAATTTAAAATGCACCAATTGCGTTCGTCTTGCAGGGAAAGAATGAAAAGGCATGGACAGAAATAATGCTGTTTGGAGTTATTCTTGCCAAATTTATAAATTCGCTCTTGACAAATTTAAGAATGATAACATATGTCTCAGAAGTTTTGGCAGAAAATTGGGACGTGAGTACGGCACATCTAACGATACCATTTCAGGAGAATTGAAAAGAAATGGTCAAAAATACCGGAAAAGAAAGAAATGTCCAAAATATAGACCAAATCAATTGGCACGGATACCAAGATGTCGTCGGCAATTAAGACGAGTTCAAAACTGGCTTAATGATCATCACACCTTTTGTCCCTAAATGCCACAATCCGCCTAATTTACCCCAGTCTCGTCCAATTGAAGATTTTTGGGCACTTTTAGTTCGAAAAGTCTATGATAGAGGATGGTAAGCTAAAAACGAAGAACAATTACGACGGAGAATTTACACAAAAATCAGAGAAATCGATGTTGAGACTGTCCAAAACTTAATGCGAGATGTGCGAAGACAGTTGCGTCTTGTTGAGGAGCATGGACCACTTTATTTAATGAGTTGTTATTTTTGTTCTTTCTAATTAGTATTCTATACGTTGTATACCTACTGTCTTTCGTAAAAATCCAAACGCCTTAAAGGAATTGACTAATGTAACTGAAATTTTCACCAAATGTGTATTAAAATGAACAAAACCAATGATTAAAATAACAGGGCTGAAACTTATGAAATAAAAATGTTATTTAATAATGTGTGGGTCCACCACGATTGTTTATGCAGTCATTAACTCGGCGAGGCATGCTGGAGATGGAATGATTTATTGTGCCTTGTGAGATCTCGTAATAGTAATTTACACAACTAGTTCGGGATAGCCTGCTTCCCGCATGCAAGCTTGTTTGCGGCACGATCGAAGGGAGCAACGTGTTGTGTACAGGGCCGTCACAATGTTGACACTACCCGACTATTTTAAGGTTACCATCGCAACGGAAAGTTAAAATGCACGTGTGCGGCAAGTTCGAACTCCCGCACCCTGGTAAATGTGCGAAAGCCATCAAAAAAGGTCATGAGTTCAAAAATTACTATTATGCATTATTCTTATATAAACTCATTAATAACAGCGTTGACTGTCCTATTATTCTGTCTCAATTATATTTCAATGCAGGTCCTAGGAGTATGGTGATGTTTCCATATAGTTCCTTCGAGAACAGATGTTGCCAAATTTTCACCTATCTCCAATATGTGTCGAATCGGAAATCGAGTACATAACAACATTGATTATTTTTTCTACTTCACTGCGGACTCTCAGGGTTTATAATTATTCACAAATTTAATTCATTTGTTAAGGAATGGTAACTAAATCCTAACTGGGACCTGTTGTAATTTGTAGCTGCAGGAGTCGCGTTACCTTTCTTCCTAATTAGTTTTTGTTTATTGGTCTATAATTAGGCATGAACCAGTCCAACTATTTTTAATAATAATAATAATATTCTGAAGTATTTGTGTAGGGTTATAAAGTAACTAACTAACAACACCTATTCTGACATAAAAATTCAAGATACCTAAAATAAAATTTTATGACCTCTCATTGGATTTTTTTTTAATTTAGTAGATAATCAACTTTATTTGTACAGAGCATATTTATATATATAAACTCGAACCCAATTTCCTCACCGCATATGGAAACATTAGTGTAGTTTCCATAAGTGATTTTTTAAAGCGTTTGAATAAGTCATCTCAAGTGATGGATTTGCTATCTACCTCAGCGAAATAGCAAATTCTTATTAAAAATGCAATGAGAAATTTTCCAAAACCAAAAGCTGTTACATCGGTATCATGTGTTTTTATCCTTACAGTATACCACGTTACATTTTGCCTTTGACATGTTAACATAAAAATATTTGATTACCTTCTGGAAATTAAATTAACGTAACTAATACATTTACATAATTTGAAATTACATTTAAGGTATGTATTTTGTGGAACATTTAAAACCAATTTCAGCACGTGAAAGTGAATAAATAAATAAACACGGCCAAAAGACAAGCGATGAAAATCTCTGTTGACTTGTTGATCGTCTTTTGTCATCAAAGCGTATGTCTGCATGTATGTATATATGTTAACGAACTGACGTGATAGAAACTTGGAAGCATAAACAACTGAACGAAAGGGAAATCCAGGCGGCAGATGTGACAGATGAGAATAAATCTGCGCAGATTTGGTGTTTCTTTGCGATCTACCTTCCCAAAAAAAAATGATCAACTATTAACTAGATGGTGTTTTTTGATCACTAGTTATAACAAAAATATGGGTCATGCAAAAAAAGTACCATAAAATTTACGTACTGAGACATTTTTCGAACTCTAAACATATGAAAGTTAAAATGGACTTAATCCCCATATTCAGTCTTGAAAAACACACATCAATGCATTGAAAATATGCAACCAAAGTACATACTTGATTTTGTAGAATAAAAAATTCCAAAGTAGTTGGAATGAAGTTAATGAAGACATTGGGTTAACTTCTTTTCTCCAATTAAAACATCATTCCTTCTATTTCTTTGGTGGTGTTCATACTCGACAGATCGAGTAATGTTTACATTTTTGTAAAATATTTTACAATAATTCAAACAAGTTGACATTTAGTGTTTTTACTTCTCGACCGTAAGCGGAGTAAGTATTGTTTGTAATCGAATCCGTCGACCACAGGGATGTTATATAGTAAAATTGTAAGTCCATGGTCGACCAACTCTCTACTTTTACGTTTTCTCGACCTTTCGTGACCCCTACAGTACGAAGAAATAGGTCTCCCGTTAGCGTCTGTCTCTCTGTCCGTCTGCCTGTGCGTGAATTTATTTTACTGATTTACTCAGGAACTGCAAAACCGAATGGTTTGAAATCTTGGAGATATTTTAAAGTTATCATAAGCATGGTAAATTTTTTATCAAAATGTATTTACTCATTACCCCTAAAAAATTGGTGACGTCACTTCACAATATTGCTGAATAAATCCTATCTTAAATGTGCAGAATATATGAGTCTATACTTGCGATTTATCACTGCATTAATATTTTTTAGATTTGCGTATACAAAGTGTCTCAAAAAAATATATGACTGAGTCAATTTATTTTATTAATTAAATCAAGAATTGCAAGTTATTTATGAAACCCAAAAAATTTATGACGTCATTTCAAAATTTTGCCGAATAAATACTATTTACAAAAATTTAGATCGGTTTAACATTAAAATGTAAAAGTGTAACAATTGATGGGTAATCTTGTTCGCTGTGAGCTAAAGTAGGACCTTAACCTCATGAATAATAGCCTAAATATAATATTTACAATGTCATTTCAGACCATTTAACATGGCGCGAAACAATAAATACGGTTTGACATTAAAAAAATTATTCTTCCACTTCATCACCATTTTCTACTTTTTATTCTACAGTTTCGTTCGTATTTTCGTTATTGTCGGGCACATTGTCGTCTTTTGATTCTTCTTCTTTGTTACCTTTGGTTTCCTTAAAGTTTTGTGGTGTTTCTTCAGACTGGATCTCACGATTTCGCAATTTAATTTCAGCATTTGAGGTTACAATTGGCACAGAATGGATGGATTCTAATTTCAGATTTTTTTCCATTTCATCAATTTTGTTTGCCATATCAAATTGGTCATAGTCCCCACAGTAATCATCATCATTGAATATTTGTGGAGAGAAAGAATGTCTAGGGTTGGGATCACTAATTGTTCCGCCCGAAGAAGTGGAATAGTTTTCCAGCTCCGCTATATCAATTACTTCTTACTGAACATTTTTTGAAGCTAAAATCAGAAGGACCCTTTGCTGTCTTGTTTCTTCACCTCTTTATTTCCCGAAATACTACTCATGTATGCTTTGACTACCATTATTCCTCAGTTTATAATTGTCGAAGTGTAAATTCTCTGTAAAACTATTTGGCCGCTTCTTTCGCACTGTGGCGCCACACCTATTTTCTTACTATCTAAAATGTGCAAAATATGTATGATGAGTGTATACTTGTAATTTATCATTGCATTTCATCTTTTTTACAGTAATTGTAAACATGGTAAATTGTTAATCAAAATATATCTGTTTAAAACTTTGCCGAATAAAGTCTACCCCAGAATGTGCAAAATATGATGAGTTTTTACTTGTGATTTATCATTTCATATTTTTTAGATTTACCTAAACAGGTGGCTTAAAAAAATTGATGAATGAAGTTTATTTTGCTGATTAAATCAGGAACGGCTCACTCCATTTTCCCAGAAAATTTTGGGAATACAATACTCTTATTTTTAGTAATACACTGCACCAACCCAAGTTGATATAAATGTTGATGACGTCATCACAAAATTGTGTAAAGAAAAAACTCAAAAAGCGATTGAGCGTAACATTTCCGTTGGATTTCCGTCTTAATCTCCAAGTTTGGTATATTTAGTTCTACAGCATTCCTATAGATCTCACTTACATTCAACAAACCATCATCCCACAGTAGCTGGAAGAAGAAATTCACTTGTGACTTATTCAACTTACTCTATGGATAAGAAATCGTCCTTTTCAATTCCAATATATTATCAGTTTTTGGATCAGCTACTACTATTGAAATACTCTCGCCTTTAACTAGTTTGCCAATTGCCTCTTGTATCTCATGAGTTACGAACAATTTTCTTGAAGTATCCAGCCAGCCTGGCTTACCCCAATATTTACCAAATATTCTTTTCTGTGTAGCAATACTATTGATCAAATAAGTAGTGCGTGAAATACCAGCCACTTTAAATCCTTGCCTCACCCTTACTTAATAATTGGTATCCATTATACCACTTTTTGATACCATCAAAATCCTTCGCTACTTAAAATGCATCATTCTCTAACAGACCATGTACTTCTTGTCTTGTGAATCCATATGTTTCAGAAAAATATTGTTTCTGCAGAAGCAGGTCATAAAAAGTACATCTGATAAGCGAACACAGGAACTAACTAATGAATGTTCCAAAAATTCGTTACCCTTCAAACCTGCTGACAACATACCGCTAAGATGATACTCGTATATGATGCATCTCAAGATTTTATCTGCCTATTGACGATAATAGCTTTCAAAATGGACCGTCAGCCTTCTTTATAAGTATAACAATTTTCTTATTAAAGTGCGTGTACAAGATTTTAGACAAGAATTTCAAAGCATTTGTTACAATCGCTTCGGACAGTTCTTTCAACCTATTTTTGTTCTACCTCCCACACTTTTAAGGCTCACAAAAATCACAAGATATTGACCGCAATGTTTTTTGACAAAATCACCATGGTATTGCCTTAGCTTTAAATTCATAAACATGTTGTAATTGTAAGAACTTTCTGGATTTGACATTGATTTTGCATCTTCATCCACTATCATCTGCAAAAACATCTGGAGCATATTCATAAATGATGATTTTCCAAAACACCTCGGGGTTGTTATCTGAACTCCAAATGTTGGGCATTCAAAAAAACGTAATGTGTTTTGTTTTGACAACTTTAAATTGTTCTGAACTTAACTGGCTAAATACCGTGATTTGATCATTCAAGAAACATCGTTAGAAGGTCACATTAGAGATGTAATCAACAGATTTGTTCGAACTGGCAGTGGTGACAAAGAGAAATCTCCTGGAAGACCTTCAGTATCTGAGGAAGTTGTTGTTAATTTGAAACGACTTCAGCAGAATTCACAAACATCTTCGACAAGATTTCCTCAGCAGTCAGGAGTTCCTGTTGCAACATGAAATTGAACAATGGGTCCAAAGTAAGTACTGATGAAAGAATGTCACAGACTATTTCTGAAATGAAAAAGAGAGTGAACATGTGCCTTGAACAAAATGGTGAAGATTTTCAACATTTACTGTGATGTTTAAGCGCAATACATTTGTTTCTTTTTATTGTAATGAATTGGTTTTCTTTTTTTTAATAAGATATGAAGCGTTTAGGCAACCAGTTATACAGATGCATGTGGTATTTGTCACGAGTCCTTTGGCATTTAGTAAATTTTATAGGAAGTGAGAGGTGGCACGTTTCCATGACCTACTTCGACTCTATAATCATTTATAGAACCCCTGCATAAGCCTCTACATTCACTTGTACAATAATTTGAAACCTATCATTTTTATTTTTCAGCGGTGTATATTTAATCAGTTTGGATTCTGAGGAGCCAGTGAAAATGTGCTTATTCTGCATAGTTAGAAATGCAACATCAGTTCCACAGATATCGTCAGATATGCCAGATATACGAAGACGCTGTAGCGGTGTTTGCAAATTGCGTACACCTAACATGTGAATCCTTAATTTCTTCATAATTTGTTAGTTTTTTCAATTTATCTGGATTATGACACTTTAAGAGGAGACAATTCTTGTTTGTTCGAACGTCGGTGATTTCCACGTTAAAGTTAACCGGATTAATTTTCGGAATGATATCTGATTTGGTCTTAGAGGCAGTTTGTATAACATTCTTAGATTTAACAATTACAGTAGTTAATTCATTTAGCTTTTTCTCATAAGTTACGGCAGAATCACGGATTTCATTTATTCACAAGTGTGCCAATTTCTTCCCGTAATAGAGAATTTTGAAGTTGCAAATCATTTTAGTATTCAACGAAGCAAAATGATCTTTTTTACTTCCCGAGCGTAAGCAAAGGAAGTATTGTAATCGAGTCCGTCGGCCGACTCTCTACTTTTATTTATCTTCCACAGCATGTTTGGTACCACCACCATCTACAGAAACTGAGCAAAATTCACATCTCCACTACCAGTGTATTCAAATAAATTAAGCACATGTTTATCAGATTTTCTTCCGAAAATCGTCGCCTCAGAACTCTAATCGTATCAGTAATACTTCTGCAACATTCTCCAAACACATAGATTATCTCTTTACCCAAAAAATTGAAGTTTCAGGCATTTTAAAACAAGCACGAAGTTGAAACTTCAAAAGTAACAAAAGTGCGAGAAAATTAGTTGTTCCGTCAGGTTTAACCAACAATTTTATGAAAAAAACATGCAAATGTTTTCATGGCAAAGTTTGTTTTCAACGCGTTAATTAAAATTCTTTCTTTCTGCCACTTCAAGAGCAGATTTCTCAAAGGGGAATAAACTTTTTACAAGTTTTCTTCCGCGGAATACTTTATTTCAACATAGTACTTGATTTTCTTCAAAATTTTCAACTACTTCATGTGAAATAATCGATTTAAAATTAAAGATTACAACAATGAATAAATTTTTGACATATGTAAAACAGAATCTGCATCCATCAATAAAGGTAAATACAAAATTTGAAAAAATCGACCAAAAAATAAATGAGACATAAAAACACAATGGTCTAAGATATTTTTATACTTTTCGGGTGCATCAAAATTAGTGCTTTTTTAAGGATTTTAGGTCTTCTGCGCTTGCTTATCTGTGGAAAAACAGCTAAATTTTAAGATTCTGCCCTGTTCTGCCTGCAGAAGTAACATACACTACTGCTTTTGTTTAGGTTAATACCATTTTCAAGTGTTCATGGAAAATGCATCTCTTTATCGTTTACTACTTCCAAAATTTTTTATCAGGAGATAAATCAAATTTCATCTGCATCACTTATTCCTAAAAAATTGCAATGGTGCTTCAGATATGAATACTTAATTAATTTTTATAGCTGGTCAGGCAAAAGTTCTAAGTTACACTTGCCTGATATTAACCTTTGTGATAGTAAATGTAAAAACATAAAAAACTTTCAAGACCTATCTTCGTCAACTATTTTTTAAGATCAAACTTTATTTCTACTAAGTTTTGTCTTTTTACAGCTTTCTGTACTCCTATAATTATTTATTTTTCAACTTAAAGCGTTCCTAAATGGATGTTTTAGTAAATGACTGAGAATTGACAACATTTCTGGGAGACATGTACTACATGGTAATTTTAGTTACCTAGACGCTTTCCTTAACCGAGACGATATATTACTGCCCCCGAGCAAACAGTGAACCTAGATGACCTTTGCTCCTCTACACGTGTCTGGGATGTTTCCAGTGTGCACGTGCGCATCCCCGTCTTATCTGAAAAGATGAATGGGCTCTCGTAGCCAAAACGGCGCTATTGGGATATTACAAGTATTTTATCATATAAGCTAATGCATGCCTCATATAAGCCCAGAGAAACGGGTTGTAAAGGATACTGAAGTCATTAGAAGTAATCCAGAATTTTATCAGCTACACTTGTAGTGATTACTGAGTCTTCTAACTAGAGTGTTTAATAAAACAAATATTGTCTTGTTTCTTTCCATTCCTCTGAGACGTGAAATATACATATTATACATACTTAATTGGTGTAATGACGTCCTACCCAAAGTTACTTCAATGCACGCAAACGATTTCCCCTTTGTTATTTTAGAGCAAACTTTCTATCCTCGAAAGAACAAATATTCATCCCATTACGTTGAACTTATATTGAGTTATAAGTACAAGACGTCGTTCATATAGAAAACTAACGTTCTTATTGATTAGAAAACATCTGCCTTGAAACCGAATAGGGATTTAACGCAGGCTGTTTATGCGACTTTCACGTGATCACAAATTCGATTAATCTATTCAGTCAACAATTATTTGTTCCTTGCATCGTTGCAAATAACACATCGCACGATACTTTAATCAGAACCATATATGATAATCTATTTAAATCCATCACTGTTCCATTCTTCCATTAATTACTAGATGATGTAATGCTGATAATTAAGTTAAAGAATATTTAATTTTCGGTGACCAACAGCATAACAAATTATACATTACAGGTACAGCGTGAATTTAACATTTTGCTTCTTAAGCGTATGTTAGGGAAGTATTTTAATAGGGTCCATTTGACGAATTTCTAATTTCATAATTTCTCGAAATTTCATAGCTCCTACAATATGAAAAAGTAGGTCTTTCGTTTCCGTATGCCTACCGTCGGGTGACGTCCGTGTTTGGTGGCAATTTTATTAGAAAGTAATCTTCAAAGCTGTTGTACATTATTGTGTGCATGGGAAAACGCTAACCAAAATTTGTTTGTCCATCCTCACCAAAAATAATAACGTCATCTAAAAATTGTGCTAAATGAATCGTGTTTACAATTTTCATGTTAGTGTAGTCGTACTTATGGCTTATTATTAATTATTATTATTGTTAATCCACACTTGTTTTAATTTTCACATGTAGGTCTTTCGTAAATAAAATATAATGAAACCAATAGAAATCCGCAAATAATTCAGAAATAATTCCAAAATATAACCTACAGCCTTGCTCTGATTAAAAACTTTCATTCTTATCTTCTATAAATGGTAAACATTAATATTTTTATCTCCACCAAAAAGTTATGTTATTTTAAAATACTTGAATAAATTTCATCGGAAAATAAGTCCAGAGGTGCACCGGGTACTAGTTGTGCTGTAGATGCAACAACTTTGCAGGTTTTTTGTAGTTTTACATACAAAATAAAACAAAATCATTTTCGACTGTAACTTATATTTAAACGTCAACGATGACAATGGTTATATACAGAATGAACGAACACGAAACTTGCAGCCTCTGCTGTAAGAGTTGTTAATGATGATAGAATTCGGAATCATGTTCATCAATCTGGTTGTTAGCGCTATTCGCGACAGCCAGTTGTGCGGAAGCAGCAGCGTTAGTTTGAGCCAACTGGGCGGCAGAAGCAGCTCTCTGGGCAGAAAGCTGGGTATCCTGCAATCCTGCCAAAGCCTCATGCAACCTTTCTTGAAGTCCGGCGAGTCTCTGCCTGGCGTCTTCGATCATTTGGTGTTGAGCAGCAGCAGCCTGGGTAGCAGCGGCAGCAGCACGTTCTGACTGAGAAACAGATTGCTGAATAGCAGCCAGAGCAGCGGTAGCGGCAGCCACTTGTCCTTGGCTTTGCTGGACGACGTTCTGGGCAGCATTGGCGGCTTCGAGAGCTTGTTGGTACTAAAAAAGACCACGAGTCTTCTGGTATTTCAAATATAGTATGAAGTTACCTGCGATTGTTCAGCAGCAAGCTGATGCTCGGCGTCCTCGACGTGCCTTTCTAAATCCTGGACAATGACTTGTTTAGCTACAAGGGCTACTTGGGCGGCAGAAGCAGCTTCTTGTGCAGCACGAGCATATCCACTTTGGGCTCCTACAGCGGCCTGAATACCGGCACTTTGTTGGCTCTGAACGGCTGTTCTGGCTTGGAGCGCTGAAGTATGGGCCAAGCTGGTGAGTTGGGCACTAGAGGAGTACTTCTTGCTTCCGTGGCCTCCAAAACCGCCTAAACCGACAGCAATGTGACCAGTTGATTGTGCCTCGAGGTCGTCCTTGGCCACGCTCAATTTTTGTTGCTTGGCGCAAGCAGACACTTTAAAATAAATTATATTAGCAAATCCTGAAACAAGAAAACGAAATTCAACTTACCCAAGATGATGGCGAAAACAACAAAAAATCTAGACATGGTTGGCTGTGGAAAAAAAGAATGATTAATTTGTCGTTTCGGTTTTTTGAAAATTTCTTACGACTTGTTGAGGACCTGCTTGTAGGAAAGCGAAGAAGCTACTGAAGACTATGTCTGCGAGGTGTCTATTTATACCATAAATTACCCTCATTTATATGAATGTGTAATACCCACTGGCGAATAATTTGTATAAATCTGAATTTTAATAGAGTTTCTGTGCATCGCAATGCAGTGGAACGTATTATTCCGGTTGCTTCTTCGAATTAGATTGAGGATTCTTGTAAAAATTAATTGCTTCGGACAAATATTTATATAATTGTATAACTTAATAACATATATTCCTCCCAATAATTAACGTATCTTAATTATAACTTTTTTTATAAACCTTATAGTCGGTTAACGCCTCCACATATATTACATGGTTTAAAATGTATTCGTTTTTTTGTCCATGGACTGTGCTGTCATTTTGAGTATCGTAAAACTCCAATTTATACGATTTTAGACTATTTTGCCTTCTACCTTTCTGACATTCTAGTAAAAAATATTCACGGTCTATAACAACGATGCATAAAAAAAAAAAGATAAATTGAGAAAGGGCTTAATCGTATTTTTTACTCTTTTACTTCTCTAACAATAGCTGTTAGTTCCAAAGCAATAGCTGTAGGAAATATTGTAACAGAATCACTGCGACTCGGTGCATCTCTTTCCTGCCATTTCCCAATCCGCAAAATAGTTTCACGTTTCCGTTTGTCTGTTGCCTATGTGTTGAAATCTTCAACTAAGTACTTTAAGATGAACCCCAAACAGGAAAAGTTATGGTCTTAACAGGATTAATTTAAGAGGGAAGAATTGAGTTGTCATCATCCAGAAACGTCAATTTTTATATTACGTCCGAATTATCTCCCGGAGTAGTGCGAGTTGTCTACCTGCTACGAGATATAGTTCTGGGAAATAGAAGTGGCAGACTTAACTTTTAAGGCCGGAATAATATTACTTCAAAAGTATGAACTCCTGTCACATATACTTGTCCAAAAGGTATAAGGTTATATGGCCATCATAAAAGTCGTTGACCGCAAATAAATACCCCCTTTGTGTGGTTCGCACTAAGCTTACCGGTTGTCAATAAATCGTCTTCTAAACATTTCTTGCTCACATTTAACAGGGCCGACTTTCAAAGCGAGTGGTTATTTCGGAACCCTCAGCGTCTGCATGTAGTAAAGAAATAGTGGAGTGGTGGATTTTCATATTTAGTGAAAGCCACCACTGAACGAAACCACAACAGCCGGTCGAGCTGCAGTGGACATGTTATTTACGACCCTAAAATCTTTTCTATTGTAAACAACTTAACTTCGACACAAGGGGATGATTTTATGATGGCCATATAACCTTATAGCTATGTACCTTTAGAGGCAGCATTAAAAATATCGTTTCGGGGAAAACATGAATTCAATTCCAACGATGACTCGATTACAAATTATGTTGCTCGCCCGATATATTACAAAACTAATTACCGGTCTTCTTATGACCAACCTCCTAATATCTATATAGATAAATGCCCATTAGGACATCTTCAGTATAAGATCAGTAATAAGACAACGCAGTTCAGGATGAGTTCAATTGTTTTAAGTGAGAACGAAAAAAATGGTTATTTGTGGAATGTTTTAATGTAATTACTTACGTAAGGTATTTACATATTTTCTGCATTATTATAGATTTTTATTAAATATAATTTTCATCCTTTGCTTAACAAAAAAAGTAATACTTATGATAATACTAACGCTAAGCTCTTAGGCTCTTTGCGGCTACCTGAGAATCCTGACCCTTTAATTAGTGTTTAAGTTCTTGAATCCCAACTCGATTCTGCCATTAAATAAAATCTGATCCCACTAGTAAAATTGTACACCATTGTCCGTTAATGGGGGCTGTAAAGTTTTACTGGGTACCAGTCAACTGAGTTTATTGTACATATATCTAAAAGGATTAATAAGGAAAGAGAACAGGTAAATTTGTGTTGTATTGTATTGAAAAGCAAACCTGAATCCTGTTTGGCAGGGATGATTAATTAGACACACTTTGGTTAGCGTTTGCCCATTTACACGATATTCATAACATGCATATAAAATTTCACAATGAGAAATTAACCTCTGCAAGATTTTATTTGTCCGTTATACGTCAAAATATTTCTTCAAAAAGTTAGAAAGATCTATATTTCTCCGTGAAATAGAGATAGATAAGGTAGTTTCATTTTCTTAATGTACACCTTCGAACAAAAAAAAAAAATCAGTGAACATACTCGTACATAGTACATTGTTAGTTCAGTATTAAGAAACAGATCATTTTCTGTACACCGTACAAAGACGTACAAAGGGAGCTGTTCACACATATGCAAATATAAAAAATATTTCGGATTATTGTTTTAATGACTATGCAAAGATAAAAAAATTGCCCTAAAATTAAACGTGTTACTGCCCATTCACAATGGACATAAGGCATAACAAGTACATAAAGCTTACATAAATACATAAAGTTGAAACGATGGAAAACGTATACCCCTGTTCACAGTGGACGAACGTAATTCTTATGCTTATGAACGTTTTATGTAATCCTTGTGTGCGTACACAAAGTTGAAACAAGTTCAACTTTGTGCACGAATTATGTCAAAATTATGTTAAAATCTAGGGACTTTTGAATGCTGCTATTGAATTCCCTTTGACAGTTGGCACTTGGCACTTCACACCTTTGATTATATTATACAAAATTATAATCAAAGCTTCACACTGCGAGCCTGTTCTGTACTGCGAGTTGTCAAGTTCGAATATCGTATGAAATTGTAGGTTAGATATTTTGATTGACTCAGTTTGAGGTTAGCCGTTTCTATGTTTAGCCGGGAGTTATTCCGTTCTGCGTTTGCGCAGTTTAATAATTCTTACAGAGTTCACTCTGTCCACTGTGAACGTAGATAAGCATAAGCCAGACACAAACCAAAAACGTAAATTATGTTATGCGCTCGTTCTTATGTCTTATGTCCATTGTGAATGGGCAGTTAGAAAAAAATTTCTACTTTTTCAATTGCAACACCTCAGTAAATTACTCTTAACCACGGATAACATGTATTTCAATTCTAACTGTATCCTTGTTAAGAAAAAGTAAAATATTTTCGGAAAAACAGTAAGAAGAAATACCTAATTCAATTATTATATTATATTTATTTTTATATTTATACCTAATTATTATTACTGTTGCAGCTAGAATGACGCTTTTCATCTTAAGTTTACTACAAAGATTTAAATTTAATACTTTCAGTGATTCAATTTTAAGCATGTAACAACAGAAAATACACTTATACATATATTGCACTAATGTTCACTGACTGTAGAAAAAGTGGAAACCTACAATGTGCCAACCAAGTGAAAACTATAAAATGTCACTATTTTGGCCGCGCCTGTTTTAAAAGGACAGTACGATCAAAACAGCCATGAATTTAAAAGTTTGAGCTGAAAATACGACGATCAAAGACAAACTTTCAAAAATCCGTAGTTGTTTATGATCGTATTTTTTGTTGCTGTCTCTGTACAACATATTATTTTTTGTTATTTTTAAGAGTATTATTAGAAAATGCTGATATATTAAATAAGTTATTTTCAAACTTTCTGAATAAGGAATTTTATTACTTTGAAACTAAATTTAATAATATACGAAGACAATAAATTAAAAAAAAGTTAAATAAAAATACTAAATAAATCTTATTATAAGCAGTGAAAATACTGCGTAATCCAAATTTAAAAAGTAACCGCTTCTAGAAATGACAATAAAAAACCCAATGTAAAAGCCGTACGTTCGCATTGTAGGTAGTATTATTACAAAGCCTACACCGTTCATCCATCCCCACAAAGAAAAATAATAAGACACGAACTCTGGCCACCTTAAATTTTAATTCCTCTTCGTCTCCCCTTGTCCTTTAGAACCGTTACGAAACCGTTAGTTCCGCATCTGTCCCAAACCGCATATGCCCAGCCGGCGAGTTTTCCGCATGGAAAACACCCATCAAAAACAGATTTTTTTTCTCTAATCTCGCAACTAACAGAAACCGAACACGACATTCAATAAACAATAACCTGCTCTATCTCTCTCTAATGCCGATAAGAAAAACAATATAATCACGTTTTTACCCCCTTGCCATGTACTTAAGTGTCAGGCGATTTGCGCTTGTGCGAATCCAAGTATCGATCCTACTTCAGTAGGGTGGTTGAGTTCCCTCTTCGCCCTTACCTACTCAGTTATAGCGACGTCACTCTACTTACTGCATTTAAGCCAACACCTGCTTAAAGAAAAACAGTTGAACAAACTAGACAATTAGTTGACAACAGCGCGGCCGATCGTGTCAGCCGGCGCTTAGTGCAATGATACTCAGTCAGAGAAGTGATAACTAGTGTTTTTTGGCGGGAAGGATTCGATCAAGACGAAAAAGCCTCAGCACATAGGTAATATACAAAAGCGGTAGTTTTAGAGGGTTGCTATTATGTGTTCGGTGCAGACGCACTGGTAACGCTGGTGAAGGTGTTTACGGCAGCTGTTGTTTTTATTTGGCACATGTTTAGTAATGATGATTTTCGCTTGAATTTTTCAATACGTAAATTCAGTGATTTTTTTGTAATGTGAGTAATTTCAGTTAAAATGTGATCCCTCTACTGCTACTTAAGTTGTTAGTTTTTTACTTGGGCAGAACACACTGTTTTTGTGTCTTGTTTATCGAAAGTTTAAGCCAACAAAAAATCAATTCCGTCTTAGTCTTTGTTTATTTTAGTATGGTGACTTCTATAAAATTTAAAAATAAATTGTCTTGTTATGAAAAACGGTATGTTGTCCCACAAAAGTAAAAGAGGTGTACTAGTGTTTGGTCATATATAGAGTTAGAAAGGATTGCGTAATTTTCAAAAAATTTGTATACATAAAGGTAATGACAAAACAAAAAATAGTACTATTGGTTAAGTAATTAAAAGTTTAGTTTAGTACTGATTGGCCTATATTGGTTTCTATGGCAACGTTACAACACTTAAACACTTCTGGGTGATCTGTCAAAATTTATTATGTTCATTAGCATTTATTTAAAAATAAAGCTAGTTTCTAATTTCTAGACACAAATTTCAACCAA